GAAAACGCGCAGGACGACGCCACAGCACCTGGTATCACGCATGTGAATCGCGTGGCAAAGGAATAGTAGGAGAGGGCCGGCGATTGACGTTTGCATGAGACAGAATCTCCGAAGTGATGGATACCGAGATTCCGGAGTGGTGCCGTTGGGAGAGGCCGGAAGGTTGCTAGGTGGTCCTAAGTAGGGTCAGTAAAACGTCAAGGACGTACCAGTGGTGATATGAAAACTTACCGGTCCTTGCCGGGTCAAGGAATTCAGCCACCATGATGGCTGCGGTATATGTCAGTTGCCTGAGTATGCTTTCCGCCTTCATCTCCTCCGTTAGTTCCTCATTATCTGCGACCTGCACGGTTTGCTTTTGGCCCAGCTTCTCCCATTCGCTGCTGATCTTGGCATCCATCTGCTGGAAGCACGCGGCCAGGATGGGAGGTAGGAAATGATCCCTTAGCTCCACAGGACAGTGATCAACGAGATACCTGACCAAGTTCAGCAGATTAATAAGCTGATGAGATGAGAGGCTGAACGAATCGGCGAACAAGGCGTTTGCCAAAGGTCCAGGAAGTTCCGTGAACCCATAAAACTGCACATCAAGTCGGCTCATGCAGTAGATAACGGCGTAGCATGCCTCGCGGACAAAGCGCACAGTTCCACGAATGGTGGAGGCAAGCCCTTCTAGCGTGTTCTTCTTGTCTAGGACTCGCGCATAGAAGTCGTCTTTGCTGCCTTCCGAAATACCGGCTTGCCAAAAGCGGTCAGTTAGGAGACGGCTGACAACAGGACGCATCTCTTCTGGGAGCAAAGACCAGTTTTTCGGATCATGGCACGCATGTGCGTAGCTCAAAAACTTGAGCAGTTCTGGTAAAATGGTCGGGAACCCGTCCTGCCACAGGGCGCAGGATGCTTGGTAAGCAGGAGAATTTTTCTCCAGTTTCTCGACAGAGTAGGTCAAAAATGACTTAGTTGAACGTAACGGAAGGAACTGAAGGTATGTCAGCAACTACAAAGCAAGTAGGAAGCAATGGTTCCCAGGATAACATACCGTTTGTCTCTGTTCAAGTTCGGCTTGAAGCGCCAACCCTTCGGCATCAAGTTCCACCGCACCCCAATCACCAACTTGGTGAACATGGCGCTGTGCAATGTAGTTTTGCGCCTTGTCTAGACCGATGAGCTGGCAGAATCCCTCGAATGAGCTGAGTGATTGTCGCAACGGGGCTTCCTTCCACTGGTTTTTGACCGGCTCGACGAACTCAGCAAGACGTCTGATCCGCGTTTCTTGGTCTATGCGAGTTGCTCGGTGGCTATGGGTTCTCCACTTAGTAAGGTTTGAACATGGTGAACTGTAGCTTTGGGTGGCAAGCCATCCTCGGAAGTTCATGGGGGGCTAATCGAGGAGTCTTACATGATGATAAAGAGGAAACTGCGATACGCAATCTGGCGCTTCTCATCGAGAGTTCCAGAGGCGATCATCTCCTTGACCTTAACCTCAAGTTGGTCGTAGACGTCCTAGACAAACACATGGTAAGTTAAGTGGGAGGCTAATGAACATGACATATGACAGGCTAGCACCACTTACCAGTAAATGATCAGGCATCTTGGAGGCGAGCCTTTGCAATTCAACCATGCTTTCAGTTTGGAGATCCCTGATGGCATCATTGAAGGTCTTGTGCTCAGGCTGCAATGCAGGCCATGTCATAAGAATATGCTCGAGCACCCTCAGCATGAAGTTGGCTTTGGTGTCAAGAGCCGTAGTGGAGAAGGCGACAAGCAGCTGGAGGATACGTTTACGGATCAGAGGGTCCTAAAAGTTTGTCAGTCTTTCGTCTTCATTGCCAACTACTCAACCAACACGTAGATGACGGCATACCTCAATATTCATTTCCAGCAGCCTACTACACCACTGCTCAAGATGTGTTTCGATACTCGAAATTTCCTGGTCCTGGTGCAACTTGTCAGCTATTCATCATGAGTAGTACAGCGCAGTAAGATGATCTTACTCCTCCAGGGAGTTCTCCTTGTCTTGCCCTCCACTTAACGTAGCCTTTGAGGGCTGCCTCAATGACCGTGGCATGGGCGTCAACTCTCAAAACGGGCATGGAATTTTTGAGGTAGGTTGCCGCTAAGTTCCGCGTTAGTCATCGGTCCCGTGTGTTTTACGGCTTAAGCAACTTACGATTTAGGGGTGGCTGTCCCTCATATAATGTTTGCAAAGCATTCTCTGCCTGGCTCAAGATGTACTGGAAAGCATCCGTGAGCCTCAGCTGGATGATGCTTTCGATAATAGAACAACTGTATCGCCTATAGTTACCCAGGAAAGCATGTCTCTCCGGGATGGTATCGGTATCCTCCATGAGAAGAACAAACGTAGGATCTTCCGTATCTTCAGGAAGGTTCTCATAGCGCAACAGTCGAGAGCTACAGACGTCCAGTAGGGGGAGAACCATGTCAGTTTTCCCTATAGCGGGACCTAGCGAGCGGTGGTTAAGAAGGCGCGTCCAGGTCACAAGGACGGGAATGGAGACAACGAGGCTCTGACTCTGCACCACTGCTATTAGAAGCTTCAGGAAGTCCTGAATGTCAACCTGGGGAGGTATGGAAGCGTACTTCCGGTCAAGGTAGTTTCCAACACACGAGATCATCTGTGATTGTCAGTAATAGACCTAGGGGAACAATGCGGGCGGGTTTCCCCAGCGGTGTAAATGTAGCAACTTGCCTCGGAGAATTTCTTGGCAAACTGGTACTTGTCGTCGTCAATGTCCTCAGCGTCCACTGTCGACCATTCAAAAAGTCGTCTGCAGAGGTCGACCGACTCGGGGCTGTACATGGGAACAACCAGATCGACGAACTCTTCGCTGCTGAATGCTGACCGGGAATAGAGAGAATGCAACGCCTCCAAAGCAGCCTGTTTCAAGAGATAAGAGTCAACAGCTGGAACTCGAGCAGATATCAAGAGCAATCGCACAAGTGGAAAAGTGGTTGGACAAAGAGGGAAGGCAAGATTACCCTTTGCACGGTCACGTTTGAGTTGGCAAGGCCATTGCATATAACAGGACGGCAACCGGTAGCATGAATGGCTTTTGGTATTGCCCAAGGCATCACGGAGTTGAGAACGGCCAAAGCTTTGACGACACAGGCCCGGACGTCCTCATTACTGTCGAGGTTCTCGTTCAAACAGTCTCGGACGAGTTCTGTTACTCTACTGATCCATCCGTCGTCACCGAATCGCACCTGGGGTTCGTGTTGACGGGTTGGGAAGGCTTCGCTGAGCACTGCAGAAGGGGTGAAGATCTCAACGCACCCCTTGCTCAGCGCTCCCTCTCTATGAGCAACGATGGCGTCTTCTCCGTTGAAAATCTCCTCGGACAAGATTTCGAGAATCAGGAGCACGAACTCCTTGTGCACGGATGAGCCCGGAACCTGCCATAGGCGGTTCAGCAACTCGTCCATATCCATCCACTCGGCAACCCAGCAGCGCTTAGCTATCTCGACCCAGAGCTGGGCCATCTTTGTTCTGAGAAAGGGCGGATCTGATTTTGCGACACCCTGTGCCAGTTGCAAGATCCAACCGCGGAGAAACTCGCGTTGGTTGGTGTCATATTCGGACCATTTGTGCTTGACCGCATATTCGAGAAGAGACAGGCCGTAGTGGCGAACGACGGGTTCTTGAGAGCCTCCGGAAGCAAGGCTGAAACCGTGCGAGGGCGCGTCACCGCGGGTCTTGACTTCTTCCAGAAATGCCTGAGCTTCCTGTCGGGCCTGGTTGGGAGAGTAGGGGCTGTGGACAATGTTGAGCGCTTCGTGAATCCTCGCGATGACAGGATCGGCGCCGGCACCGGCGGCCCCGTTGGTGTCCATGTCGCGAACAGGAAGAGTCAGTGGCTAGAGGAATACTCGAGGGTGGAAGTAGATGTATCTTGAGGACGCAGAGGTCGGGATGATGGAGCCTGTTTGCAGCGATACGGGCCGCGGCGGAAATCGAGACCGAGAGGGTGTAAAAGATGTGTGCTCAAAAAGAGGCGATCGTGGACATGGGATTGCTGTACCGGGTCACGCTCGATTAGACTGGGAACCGTATGTAGGTACAGTGTAGATGCACCGTAGGGTGTGTTGTGTTTACCTCAACCGCAGCGAGATCGCCCAAGGTAATAATGTTTGGCGGGAACCGACGTGATGGTACAGACGATCAAGCTGGAGGGAAGCAGAGCTGGGCTAAGTGGTGAGCCTGATGGTATGACCTAGTCTACACCGCAACCGTTAGTGGGTAGCCTGGTGCCTTGAGTAATATGTGAGCGAATGAAGCAAGCCAGCCACCGTTAGAGGCTGGAATAAGATATTGGAGGACAGGTAGAAGGTAGGTAAGCAAAGGCGCGTCGAGGAGTCTCGCCTCGCCGGTGATCTATACAGGAAGAGAAGGTTAGGTAAGTACCTCCAAGAGGCACAAGGTGGTGACGGGAAATTGGAGTTGTGAGCCTGGCGGGGATGTTTTGGGGCCCGGGCAGCATGCACGAAATTCCACAGGCCGGGGAAATGACGGAATTAGTTCACTTAGGTTGGAAGTCCACCGTGACTTAGGTTGCTGTTATGGAACGTTGTCCGTCCATCCACGGAGGCTTGACCGCCGGGGCCACAGGTAGGTCCACTAGGTATGTACACAGGCGACCAGGAGCCCGGTCCCTACAACTCCCCTATATTTTACACTGGCAGAGGCAGTGCCGTTTCGCGCAAGGTAGTCTAGACGGGAGGTACCTAGGGGTGGCGCTATAGGTACCTGTAACAGCACAAGTACTAGTGCTTGCCCCAGCCACACTAGTGCAAGTCAAACTCCACTGAAGTAAGGTACAGTTGTACATCATATACCTCTGGAAATTAGTGTAGTGTACTATGGATGTACATTAGGGTAGGTAGGTGGGCAGACACGCTTCAGGCTGGGATCGGAGCGGGCTGCGGATCCATCGCCGCAACTTCATCGATCCAAAACTCCACAACACACCCACCTCACCGGGAGGGGCACCTGGGTAGGTAGGTAGGTAGGTAGGTAGGTACGCAGTAGGTACCTCAGGACCTCAGGTTGGCTTCCATAAACAACGAGGGATGGAAAAAAGAAGGCGGTCAGCTTATCGCTCGTTATCGGGAGGCACGTACAGTAGGTACCTCTAGTCCCTCACAGTGTGCTTGTACAGAATTATGCATGCACCCCACTGACGGAATGAACTGTTCGCTTGAAAATAGCTGCGTCACGACGAACACTTGAACGCTGTTTCGTTCTTCCGCGGTCGGGACATGTCCCTGAAACCCCCCGACGTGCTTTCGGCCTTCGAATCCTTCTGGTTTACTTTACTGTCGACACTATCTATGTAGACATGTCGTATCCTCTCCCTGGCCAGGATAGTCTAGGCACATTGTTCGCCTTTGTTCTTCAAGCCCCAAGCTCAAGCTTCCAAAGACACAGCAGCTTGTCATAGAAACTCGTCGACACGACCGCGAGGGTTCCCTCCGCGCTCAGCTGACAATCACTGCCATAGTTCATGCTCTTGTGCTCCTCAAACCTCCCAATCACTAGGAACTCACACTCCCCAGCGCCGCTCTTGGAAAGCTCGACAACCCGCGTACCCGCATGCATACACGACACGAGCATCGTCAAGCGCCAGCCCTGCCCATCCAAGAGGCCCATCTCTTTCTTGACAATCTTCAACCTCCATACGCCTCCTCCGAGGTTACGTTCTGCTAGCTCGACAGCCCGCCCAAAGCCGTAGGCCGGGATAGAAAAGAGCCGGATGTGATCATCGTAGCTTCCCGTGACAACGAGCTCAGACTCGCCGTCCTTCAGCCCCAGGGGCAGTATCGCCGTCACTCCAGCACCATGGCCTCGCACGTTGACAGGCGGACGGAGCGCCTCGATGGTATAGGGGCTTTCCGATTCGTCGTCCTCCATTGCATGGGCGCTCCGAGTGCGCTTGCATACTTGGTAGCGCAACGCCGAGTCGTCACCTCCTGATAACAGCAGAAACGAGTCGTTTTCTTCCCCTTCAGGTGGGCTGAGAGACGGGGAGATGGATACATACCAAGCCTCGAGGGTGTGAGTGAGGATCGGCTCAGGGTGCATCACCCAGTCGCTGCCATCAAGGTCTCTCCCGAGGTAGATTAGGTGTACATAGCCGGCAGTTGTGGTTACGGCAACCATATCCGGCTTCGTAGGATGCCAGCTGAAGTGGGTGAAGATGACCTCGTCCTTGTCACATAGCCAGTCCTCCGCCGTTTTGCACATACTTGCCATGTCCATGGTCTTGAGATGCTTCAGGGGTTCTGTTTCCCCAGGACTTAACCGAAACAGAGCCAGGGTGGCCGTGCTGGAGACGGCGGCGCACATGTCTTGCTTGCCTAGTGCTGGGTTGAAATGAAGGTCGAGGATGGCCGATGGCTGCATCAGCGTCTGGACGTGGACTCTGACGGCTTGTCAGTTTCCGTTGGTGTGCTCTTTGCTTGCTTGACAGTGGCTAGACTTACAGCTGGTCAGCCACGAGCTGAAATGTGAGAATGCTGCCATTGCGGTTTTGTGGCCCCTCCTTCTCTCCTGTCACCGCAGCCTCGTCTTTGTCGATGTTCTCGTCCTGCGCCTCCATCTCCTTCGCTTCAGCAGTTTGCGCAGCAGCGGGCCCTTCATATCCCTCCAGGTTGTACGTTCCGATCAGAAAGTATGACGGCGCAGACGGGCAAAATTCGATGCAACTGGGCGGAAGATCAAGCTGCATTGACTGAAGGGAGGAGACTGGCTCCGGCCACTTTTCACTGGGATCACGCATTTTCTCAGTGAAGCCACAATGCCATGCCGACTTCAAATCAGCAGGCACGATTTGGCGCGTAAGAAGATGGTCGCAGAAGCTACGGCCGTATAATGAGGGGGGGAAATGATGAGAATAAAATAGTTGTGACTATGGTCTCTGTGCAGGAGACTATTGGTCGGTTGGTCGTGACGTGATTGTTGTGGTAGTGCGTGCTAATTGTTTGGATTGTTCGGCTCTTTTCTCATGTTTTTGTCGTCTTTTTCTATCTTGGGGGTCGTTTGAAAATGATTGAGAAACCCACACTCGCACTGCAGCAGCAACCACCCCCACATTTCCATCATCCTATTCTTGTTGTTGTTGTCCGCTCCCGACAACATCCAGCTTATGGAAAAAGTTGTCGTGTTATAATTGTACACACCAATATAATCAAGCCAAATGATACGTTCCCTACTCCGCCCATCTCCGAATCCGAGCCACGCTTCTAGTGCGGCTCGGTGTCTGTTTGCTGGTGCATCATCCCATACCTCAACGGCACACGAACGCCTCAGAAGAGGCTTCCACAACTCGCCGGCTTGGCCTAACCAGTCACAAAGGTCACCGTCCAGCAAGACAGTAATCAGATGCGATAAATATGATAAAGTCATGCGGAACGGTTACGCAGTGTCCTCGATTGAAAGTCAATGACCCCCACCTCCTTGCTGTCAATGCATTACCATGAATCCATGAGTCTGCTAACACCAGTACAGAAAAACATCAAAACAAAACAGTCTCTCGGCCAGTGACTGGTTTAGAAACATACGACGTAGACGACTGGTGGGAGAAGTGGCACCCCATCGCACGAGCAGAGACCAAGCCACCTTGCATATTCCGCAAGGATGCGCAGGGCCGTTCCCTCTACAACCCTTACACCGGTAGTCTGGTTTCCTGGCAGATTCGCGAGACCGTTGAAGGTTTCCTAGCACGCACTAAAAACGTTGAGAAAGGCTTCATCCGGGTCGCCAACCCTTATGCGCCGCCACGCTGGAGGCCGGCCTGGGAGACCTACAGCAAGGCCGGCGAGGAGCGACTGAGGATGTTTACCGATTTCATCAAGTTCTACGGCTACGGCAACGAGGCCGATGGGAAGCGAGATCTGGGCAACATAATAACGGAGCGGGCGGAGGTTATGAGGAACCTAACCCGTCTGGCCGACGCTTGCAAACTAAGGGCCGGTAAGTGGTTACTATACATACCGCCTGACCGGGTGGAGGAGGTCTGGAGGAAGATCGCCACGGCCACGGTGAAAAACGAGCTGGGGTCGGAAGCGTGCATGAGGCGCGGTGGCATGAAAAGTAGGCCACAATTGGAAGGCGAGCTGGTGAAGGTCTACTCCAGAGACTTCCGAGACAAGGCGGAGGCTGCGAGACTGCTGGAGAAGCTTGAGAAGCTCGGGGCCCTCGATCCGAATAAAGAGTATTATTACAAGTCTGGTTCGTTCCGCTACATGACATCTTATCCCCAACATCATTTGCGGACTACTACGTAGGAGAGGGGCTGACCGAAAAATCACACCACGTAGATGCCTTGTCGCATCTGAATCTTTATGCCCATAATCAATGGGGTCTGAAAACTTCACTGGTGAGTATTCGATATCTATGGAATAGTGTTACATGCCTTCTTCCGGGGCATTCTGTCTAATCTTGTTGTGCTTTGTTGCTATAGCGGAAGTACTAACAGAACTGTTGTGCTCACAGTACACCTCGACTGAGTGCTGGGAGCTACTAGAAGCTATGAAAAGAGAACAGGATGTGCCGGTATAATAGGTAGCTCTCGAAGTACCTGTTGGACTGATGACTGGAGAGGCAACGATAACTGGAGGTATCAAGGCTGAACAAGCGTTATTGAGAGAGACAACAGTGTCAAGGGGCCTAACTCTTCGATGGCAGTGGACATGAATATCTGACAATCTGATGGGTAGTGCATGATGCATTTGTTTGTTGCACGTTCAGGTGCTTGAGAATAGCTACCAAGGTAACATAATAGCCCATCCAGAAGCAGACTCGAGCGTAGATTCGACAAGCACCAAATTACCCTCGGGACCAGTGGCATGCTTCTTCGAGTCATCCAGCCTGATCATAGCACTGCTTGTCTGCTCTCTCACATACTGGCACTCTTTGCCCATTACATCTCTTTCTTGTCTCCTTTCTCGTTGATCTTCACATCCACCCCACTAAACACCCCAGCTACCCATCCCTCGGCGACATTCTAAGCCGCCTTTCTGAACGTTCCCTTCTTTCTCTTTTTGTTCGCGTTCTCCTCCTCCACGCCCAGCTCCCACGCCTTTACAAACCAGCTTTGCGTCTGATCCAGGTAGGTTTCGTCGCTGACGTCCTTGACATTTAGGCGCAGACCGCCGTCTTTGGAAAAAGCAAGGTTCTTGCGTTCCATGCGCTGGGCCGTGTAGTCGCGGAACTGGAGGGCTGAGAGGTAAACTTGATAGACAACGAAACTGATGCCGGCCACTACGACTAATGTGAGTATGAGGGGAAGGATCTGGCTGGGTTTTTGTTAGCCTTTGTTGTCTGGTTTTATTGCTTGACGTTGTCTTGATGGCGGAACCCGCGCAAACGCGAAGTGAGATATGGTGTCATACCTCCAGGCAGATGAAGGTGCCATTTTCGGACTCCTGCGATTTTCAAAGTTGCGGCGTGAGTTTGATTTATGGCGAGTGTTGTCAAGCTCTACGAAGGCAAATGAAGGGAATATCCCGGCAAACTGGGTGCCGTTCGCTACTGCATATACTTCGCTTTTGGGTGTTTCTCGTCGAACACAGAGTAGTGGAGCACGTAGTGTGAGTGTGTAGTTGCCAACTGGGAAAATCGTCTGACTTATCCGTGGTGGCTGGGTCCCAAGATCCTGAGGTCTCGCTCGAAGGAAGGAGGGAAGATATCTCGATATGTTGATGATCCGAGTAGAGTTACCAAGCTGATAGTAGGTAGGCTGCGAGTAAGATGTGATGTTTTGACATAGGCAGAATCAGAGCAGTGGTACTCGGTGAAGAGGTATCCGTGGCACAAAAGCTAGGTGGGATGAAGATGACGAAGTGGTGAGTGAGAAGCAAGCACAGAAAGGGTTCAGGTCACAAATTACTGAATCATAGATATAGTATCAGCCCCTGAAAAGTGTAACCACCCCCAAGTGTAAAACCCCCCCAAAGTGCAAATAATCCGTCATGGCCGCCGGAATTATCTCCGCATACAACTATTGCCCACTGCGAAGACTGGCCCCGGATTTGCACTTGCAGGGGTCAAACCTTGGTAGTAGCAAACTACCTCTAAGGACACTTACCCGACCGGGCACTGGGCTTTGAAGTGAGTCCTGCTTGTTTTAGTGTTCGGGCATCTCCTAGTGGCACGGAGGGGGCTTTGTAGGCAGTGCAAACGGTAAAAACCTAAGTACATCGGATGCGGAATGCAATCACCATATATATCGTCAGGAAGGAACATACTTCTCCCGGATATCCACTGTGCCAGTAATGCCGAGATTCACTGGATTGCGATGTTCATACGTACTATGTATGTCCCCGTCTCGCCCGTTAGGTTCCTCCATCCTTATAGAAATGTTCGGCACGTTGCTGGGCGCCTTGAGTGGGTGACCAGTGATGTTTGGGGACGTGCGACTTGGTTGAAGTCTTGGTCCCACGCACTGTCCCGCTGAAGCTCCCTCGAGGTCCCCAGCCGTCCGTCATAAGCTCAACCTCGCGTTGGTGAAATTTGTCTGTTTCCAGCTACAGATACAGGAACAAACAACAAATGAAAGTGTGCGAATTTGAGAACCTTCTTGGTTGGTACTTGTCCAAGGCGCTAGGTGAAACACATCATGGCCTCTATCGGAACTTGGAGTGTAGGGAATGCATTGGTGTATGAAGTTGTCAGAGGTACCTAGTTTGATTAGGTCGGTATAAGTGTACTACTACTACCTATGTACGCAGTCGAGGCCTGAGCGTCACGTGCTGCACACAAGTGGAGATGAAAGTATGTAAGTTACAGTTTCTTGACCTTACCGTAACCCTCATTCCGTTCTATGGGGCAGTGGTGTGTACCTCTCGAGCTCTATGTGTTTATCGTACAGCAGCGCATTGTCCAACACCTTCAATCCCGCTGTCACTCTTCAAAGGTGCGGCAATACTTGATAGGTACGAACCGTCACCCTGGCTGCCTAGCCCCAGCCTGTGTGGACACTCCCGTTGGTACCTATACTACTCCGCCCAAAGCGAGGCAGCTAAGGCCAGTCTGGCTTCCTACTAGTACCTAGCTCCTGTCCTCCTGATTGATAAGTCTGATAGGTGGAGAGGCAGCCCCTCGCCGCCCGGCGCCTGATGCTGTTGTCGTAAGTCGAGAGCTGTCAACTTCCACTCCCAAGCGCGCCTCAAAAGCTCCCCATCACCAACAACTCCACCGTCCGCCGCTACGCAACACCCACGACTCGTCCCCTGACTCCTTTCGCCGTTCCTCTCGCGTGCCAGAAGCGTCATCGATATATCCACCAACAGGTCCCGGCCATTAATCTCTCCCGCCTCGTCAGAGACCCAAGCAGCGGGCGACAAACACCATGGCGGCTCCTCCTCCCAACGATGGCTACGGCCAGTATCCCCCTCAGCAGTACGGCGAGCAACCCCAATACCCTGTCGATCCCGCCCAACAAGCATATGGTAGCCCGGCCTCTCCTCCGCCGGCGGCCGCCTCCCAGCACGGCGCCGAGCATGGCAAGAAGAAGAAGAGAGCATACGCCGCCCAGGCCTTCGAGGTTGCCACAGGAGGCAATGCCGTAGTAGGCGGACAGCCAGCAGCAGCACAATACGGGATCCCTCAGCCAGCAGCACCGGGATTTGGTGGATATCCGGCGCAAGATGCCCAACAAGTGGCGTACGGCGCTCCGACAACACCGTACGGCGCGCCTCAGCCTGCCGTACCCGGAGTCGGAGGCTATCAGGCCCCTGATCCCTACTACTCCCAAGGTGTTCCTCCGGCCGCCGTTGGGCCTGCCCCCGGAGGTGTTGCCGGTATTACCGCCGGTATCCAGTCTATGGGCTTCGGAGGACAGCCGCAGCAGCCGCAGCAACTTCCTGCCCAGACGAGGGGTCATGTGAACCAGCTTTATCCCACCGATCTACTCAACCAGCCCTTTAATGTTGCCGAACTCGAGCTGCCGCCTCCCCCTATTATTCTTCCCCCTAATGTAAGCTCTCTGGCTTCTCGACTTGTGTTAGGTGCACACTGCTTACTTTTTGCTGCTAGTCTAGCGTTACCCCTTCCCCAGATGCCAACTGCGCGCCAAAGTATGTGCGATCGACCTTAAATGCCGTACCCACCACCCACTCGCTGCTCAAGAAAAGCAAGTTGCCCTTTGCGCTCGTTATTCAGCCATATGCAGCTCTTCATGACTTGGACGATCCGGTTCCAGTTGTGCAAGACCAAGTGATCTCGCGCTGCCGAAGATGTCGATCCTACATCAACCCATTCGTGACCTTCCTTGACCACGGTCACAGATGGCGCTGCAACATGTGCAACCTAACCAACGATGTTCCCCAGGCCTTTGATTGGGATGCGGCGGCCCAGAAGAGCGTGGATAGATGGCAAAGACATGAGCTTAACCATGCGGTGGTTGAGTTCGTTGCGCCGCAGGAGTATATGGTCAGGCCTCCCCAGCCTCTGGTCTATCTTTTCTTGTTTGATGTCAGCTACGCGGCTGTCTCCACAGGTCTCTTGGCCACCAGTGCAAGGACAATTCTGGATAGCCTCGACAGGATACCGAATGCCGATCGCCGCACCCGTCTTGGATTCATCGCCGTGGACTCAAGCCTGCATTATTTCTCAGTCCCGAGAGATACGGAGGAAAACGGCGAGACGAGCATGCTTGTGGTCAGCGATCTGGATGAGCCATTCCTCCCTGTTCCGGGCGAGTTGCTGGTCCCCCTCACCGAGTGCCGCCAAAACATCGAAAGCTTCCTCAACAAGCTGCCCGAGATGTTTGCGAACAACCAGAGCAATGGAAACTGCATGGGGTCAGCTCTCAGGGCAGGTCATAAGCTTATTGCCCCTCTCGGCGGCAAGATCGTGGTGCTGAGCTCATCTCTGCCTAACGTGGGTTACGGAAAGCTCGAGATGAGGGAAGACAAGAAACTTCTCGGCACGTCCAAGGAAAGCGGGTTGCTGCAAACCGCCAATTCGTTTTACAAGAGCTTTGCCGTGGAATGCTCCAAGAACCAAGTGTCTATCGACATGTTCCTCTTTTCTTCCCAGTATCAGGATGTGGCCTCTTTGAGCAACCTCCCGCGGTACACTGGTGGTCAAACATGGTTCTACCCGGGATGGAACGCCGCTAGGGCCGAAGACGCCGTCAAGTTTGCGTCCGAATTCAGTGACTACCTGTCGTCTGAAATTGGCCTCGAGGCCGTCCTCCGTGTTCGCGCTACTACTGGACTGCGGATGAGCACATTCTACGGCAACTTCTTTAACAGAAGTTCCGACTTGTGCGCTTTCCCGGCTTTCCCCCGTGATCAGTGCTATGTCGTCGAGGTTGCTATTGATGAGAACCTTACCAAGAATTTCGTTTGCTTGCAGACAGCGGTACTACATACCACCTGCAATGGTGAACGTCGCATTCGCGTCATGACTCTGGCTTTGCCGACTACCACCAATCTTGCCGATGTGTACGCCTCGGCCGATCAGTGCGCTATCGCTACCTACTTCAGCCACAAGGCGGTTGAAAAGGCCCTTGGAAACTCCCTGGATGCGGCAAGGGATCTCCCTCAGCAGAAGCTCACCGAACTTCTGCAGACCTTCAGGAAGGAGCTGGGCGGAGGCAGCATGGGTGGCGGCCTTCAGTTCCCGTCCAACCTCCGTGGCCTCCCTGCCCTTTGCCTGGGCTTGACCAAGCATGTTGGTTTGAGGAAGTCGGCGCTTATTCCTTCGGATATTCGCTCTGCTGCCCTCTGCCAGCTCTCTACCCTTCCTTTGCCACTACTTATGCAGTACATCTATCCCAGGCTATACTCACTGCACGACATGCCTGACAATGCCGGTATTCCTGACCCGGAGACGAGCCAGATTGTTCTCCCACCACCCATGAACCTCTCCTCGGAGCGGTTCGTTCCATTCGGCTTGTACCTTATCGACGACGGCCAAACGCAATTCCTCTGGGTTGGTCGTGACGCTGTGCCTCAGCTCATCCTCGATGTTTTCGGGGTGCAGGAACGCACTCAGGTCGCTGTTGGAAAGGGCACTCTGCCTGAGTTGGACAATGACTTTAACGAGCGTGTGAGAAACGTGATTGCCAAGAGCAGAGACCACAAGAGCAAGGGCGTTGGCAGCATCACATTGCCCCATCTGTACATTGTCAGGGAGGATGGTGAACCAAGCCTTAAGCTGTGGGCTCAGACTCTCTTGGTGGAAGACCGGGCGGATCAGGGGATGAGCTTCCAACAGTGGATGGGAATGCTGAGGGAGAAGGTGAGTAACTAAAGCTTGGTTGGCATTGTTCTTGTTGCTGCTGCTCGTCTGTTTCACTGCCAATGGTTGGAAAGCGGATCTGGGGCGCTAACAGACTTGCAAACAGGTTGTGCAGTAATCGCATTCACACCATCCTAGCGGGCGAAAATGGGTCTTTGATAGTTGTGTGTGACGACAAGTGAAGGATGGCGATGGCAGGATTCGGTTAGTCAATGCTTATCTTGAGGCCTTGAGCGGGTGTAAAGAAAAGAGAGACAAGGGTGCAAGTGGCGGAGAGACGCAGAAGCGGACTCGCATAAGACACTGTAATATTTTAAGAATGGTTTTTTTTTTATAAAATCTATCCGGAATAAATCCCATCGTGGCCAGTGAACGAGCAACCTTCCCTTAGTCTGGACCATCTGAAACACGGGAGAATCCCAGGATGGTTTGCTGAGGCTTGCAAACTACATATGTCAAGCGAAAGTCTCATTGTGTCATCCATTGTTTCAAAAAGGAAAAAAAAAAATGGACAATTCACCAGTGGCTTGACACGCCTCTTAGTGCCTCCTCCACAGCTTGTTGCGCATACGATTTGGAGTACTTGGATTCCCATCCAGGCGCTAATGCATATCAGATGGTTGTATAGTGTAGCGGTTATCACTCCGGATTCTGAGTTGAGTCTCAACCCATCAGAACATTCCGGCAACCCCGGTTCGATTCCGGGTACGACCTCTTTTTGGAGGTTTTTCTTCTAATCTCTCAGTGACATTTTTGTGATCTGTCGAGGCTTGGTTCATTGTCGAAGGTTTTTTTTTTTTTTTTATTTTTGTATTTTTTTATTTTTTTTTTTTTTTTTTTCCTCTTTCTTCCCCTTTTTATAGATTATTATATGCTTCTTTTCTAGTTCCGCTCACCAATAGCATTGTCTTTTGCTGGCTTGAAGTTGCAACTGCATGTCTGGCAATGGAGTAAGTATGATTGTTTTACTACGTTACATAGGTCCCGTCGCCTTGAACCTGCGCCCACTTCTTTCCCTCCCCCATAATGCTTAAGTTGTTTCACTGGTTGTAAAGCTGATAGATTGAATGCAGCTACCTCGGTGTCTGTCTGTCTTATTTGGTCTTGTCCCACGATATGTATCTCTAAATACCACTATCTAGCACCTACCATAATACTAACTAGGTAACGACTTGGTCAGAATTCCCGAACCGGTGCACTCGCTTGGCTTCAAGATTGGGGCCTGTAACCGCCCAGGCCTCTTTTTTGAAACGAACGGCGGGGAAAGCTCTCCCCAGGTCCGGGTCCCTGGCGCCTGCTTGCACTATGATGGAGGGGCAGCTGGGACCTGAGACACAGGCACGCCGAGAGCTAGTCTCTCATGACAGACGTTCAACCTTAGTCAGCCCCCATCCACTTCCCCGCCACCCCGTGGCGCAGTCATTTTAGACCCACAGGGCCAAATAGTATAATATTAGGATCACATCTATATATAGCTTGGACGAAAGTATTCAATATATATAAGAAATATCCTATCTCAACACCAACACTCGATAATTACACTACCACAAAAACTACAATCTCGACTAAATAAATTATTTAAAGATAGGACGAATAGTATATTAATTTCTTTAAACTTTAAATTGTATTTCTATAATACCTTTATTATTTATTAATACTATAGGGGTAACTTTTATTATATATAGAATTATATTCCGAAGGATTATATACTATTTTTCCACAACCTTACATCGTATATATACGAAACTTCATATATATAATAAAAAGTTATAAATCTAATACTAACGAAATAATAGAGTTATTTTATTGTATTACTAGCTTTCGGTAACCTAATACGTCTCTACCTCCTAAATTAGCTTTCTAAAATTAAATTGCCTAGGGATTGTATTATATAGTATCTATTAATAATAAAGGTATATAATACTATTTTATTAATATAATTACTACTTATTTACTAAATTAGGGGTTACTTACAAGTTCGGACTAATACCGTACAAAACCTAATCAAATTGAATCTATCTATTATATTATCTACCAATATAGTAATATAATCTTAATTACTCGTACGGAATATAATAAGAATATTATCTTCTAAATAATATTTATTATTTTAATTAATTAAATTACTATTTAAATTATACTATTTAATCGATTTAATAAAGAATAGCGGGATACTATTACTAAATTTCCTAATACCCGACCTATTTTAATTGATTAATTAATTATAAAAATAAGAACCTATTTACTTTTAATTTAAATCTAATAGGGGAAGTTTTTTTAAAAATTCCCCCTATTGGATTTAAATAGATATATACTAATTATATATTAATACCCTCGCTTCTAATTAAATTTAAAATTTAAAAACTATACGTATATCCTCCTTAGTCCAGAACAAGCTATATATATAAAGTTTATAGAATTATTACGCACAGTTTTATTTAACTAATATATTATATTTATTGTTATAAACGAATTATATATTATATTCTAATAACACACCTTTCGGACGCAATTTATAAATATTCACACTATTAGGACTACTATCCCATCCAATATTCCTTAGTTCGAATATATAGCTACCCTTATATATAAAGTATAATTATATATATATAAATACGGCGATTTCCGGCTAAAAGGTTATAATTTAAATAAATTTTCTATTATTTATACTTCTATCGACCAATCTAATATTATAATAGTATTCCAACTAATTCTACTAAACGCGTTTAAAAACTATTAGCGGCTTAAATTCATCCTTAATATAATAACACTTAGCGACCCCCAACCTAAAATCTATTATATTCTAAAAACTATTATTTATATTAATAGTAAATTATTACTTTTCTCTACTCAATTGCATCTCTTATAATATTTTATAACCTCTAACTATAAACCCTCTTATACTATAAAGGTAATCCGTAGGTATAATATTAATACTTATTTTATAAATTAAAAATCTATATATAAGGATTTTAAATAGTCTAATTCTATATACTGGATAATACTTACTGCTATTTCGCTCGGTATAAATATAAATATTCTAGATATATAGCACGTAGTACAATATAGTACAGTAAAGTTAAATAATATTATAAACCTAATTCAATACTTTAAACGCGCTATCCGTACAAATCCTACTACGTATAATATAGGGATTTATTTTATCCCTTATTATTAATTTAATTATTTTAATTAATTATACGAACCTATTACGGAGGAGATTAATATATATTCTAGCGGCAACGGGTTACACTACTATTCCACTATTCTAGTACTTAAAGTTTAATACGTACCGCCTCTTCTATTTATTAGTACTATATTATAATATACTACTTTAAATTTTACTTTAATTAAAGAACTAATTTAATTACCTAATTTAATAAATAGGGATATTTCTACTTCAAATAGAAACAATACTTCAAATAAAAAAGGCTTATCCAATAAAAAATTATTAAAAGATAAAAATACTATAATTACTAAACAAATCCTATAGGACCTAGGTATAGGTAATAATTATCGACAGCTTTATATTTAAAATAGTATAGAAAAAGCAGCGCGTATTAAAATCACAAAGAAGTATAAAGAGATATACAATTTTATCAACGTACCGTACTTCAAACTATATATTAAAAAACTATTATAAAAGCCTAGGCCGTACCCGACCTCTACATTAGGGGAATCGTATAATTATATAATAAATTTCAACGTTTAATACTTTAGTACTACTCCTATTACAATCTATCCTTCGCAATACTATAATAAATACCACCCCCCCCTAAATCTCCTACCACCTATCCTAAGAAAGAAATTTAAAACTATTTTCAATTACCTAATAAAATTATCCAAAGCTAGCTTTATTTTAGCTCAACTAGACCGCTTTATAACTATTATAATTAAAACTCTCTATCCCAATATCTCCAAACTCTTCAATTTACCTAAAGAAACTTTTATATCCTCAAATTTTATATACGTACTTACGTATAAATTTAATAGATAAATACCTATTTGTATATTATAAAATCTCTTTACCGTTATTCTAAAATTCGAAGTATAGAAATAGTTAGGGGATTATAATAATATATTAATTATAAAATATATATATATTACACCTATTATATTAAAGGTATTTACTATTAATCCAGAATAGATTACTTACAATCAGGCGAACGTAGGAAAGAAGAGATTAACCAAATTGGAAAAAACACAACATTTAAAAATAGCTAGAGGCACGGGTAATAGTTCGAATACTATAAATCCAACCCTATATACGGCTCCTCCCGCGGGTACGTACATAAATATAAACCTACCTACTAAAAGGATAAAAATTAGTATTATATTATAAAAAAGGAAGAGGTAACTATAAATATTAAATATTTTAGAATCCTAATAAATATTTAAATAAAATTTATTATACCCTCGTCTAAATCCTATAAGGGTAAATAAAGGATAATATAATTAAATAAGAATTTTAAAACCTATTCTAAACCTAAATAAAAATTTTAAAACCTACCCTAAATTTAAAAGTATATACTCTTAGAGTATAAAAACCCCTATTTTTCTAAAATAAATTTATCCTTCCTTCTTTTTACAAATTAATCACACCTTCTTTTACTCTTATTAAATTTAAATTTAATTTTACAAATTATTCTTATATTCCTATAAAATTTATATCCAATTTTACAATTTATTATAACTCCCCCCTATCGGATTTAGATCCAATTCGCCGGATTATCCTTACCGAAATCGAATCCAATTTTAATTAGAAATAATTTATTATCCCCCTATCGGATTTAAATCCAATTATAATTAAGGTAAAACACATCTCCTACCCCCTTATTGGTTAATAAAAAACATTCTTCTAATTTATTTAAATAACATTAAAAAAGACCAGTACTATAAAATTAGCATATAATCCGAATCCTAAAGTAAATAATATTTATTTCAATAAATATAATATAAATACCCTACAATAATTATACTATCCACTACTAAAATAATATAAAATCGCAAAT